AATAAGATGTTTTCCTGGCTCTGTTGGGTGATCCTGCTTAAGTCGTGCCCCATATTCTGCATTTACAGACATGGGTCATGCCCCATTTTCTGCACTGTGCATATAGAAAGTAAAGTTATTTTGAAGTGAGATAGGGTGCAAAATCAAAGCAGAACAACTATTCTGGGTTAACTCCCCAGGTGGCTTCTTATTCTAGAGTGACAGTACCTTTTTCTAGTTTAACTCACTTTAAAAATAGATTAGGCCAATGGTTCTCATCTGCAAGGCCATTGTAGCTGGTCTGCTGCTTTTAGAGTGTTCTTAATTGGAGCCTGGATATGGAGACATGGGGGGCTCCAGAATGCAGATGTGACACTCCAAATTTGGAAACATCACATTAACTTAAACCAGGAAAAAAACAACTGCCTGCAGGAGCGTCTGCACAGACACCACAGCTTTACCTACAGCACGTGCATGGGACACACCTGGGCAGCGGACAGCCCATGCAACGTGCCCAACCCACCTTAAACCAAATGGCAGTAGATGAGACCCACAACCTGCCCTTTGCACACACCCAAAGGCCTCCTTATAAAGCCATTTTTGTTTGAGGTTCATTTGAATTTACCATTTATCAAGCTTCCATTTAGCCCCATTAATCACAGCCTATCAAGGTCTTTCAAATGTAAACAGAAAAGCACCCAGCAACTGCACTTCCCTGTTTAGCCTTCTCCTGCTGGAACTATGGAAGGCTACAAAGCTGGAATATGCCGACCCACCTGTCTCCTGCTTTTCAACCACTTCCCATGGGATGAAATCAGCTGACTATTCGAGAAAAAAAAACAGACTGATCTCTTTGCCTGGCAGCTACCATATTCAAGGAGAGCAAACAATGTGTTGTGCAGGAGAAAGAGTATCCCTGTGAAAGTCAAGGGGAGAGGCAGATGGGTGGTTCTGGTAGCTCCCCTACCTGCATCAGCACATGGATGCTGTCTCTGGAAGCAGGGACAGCCAAACCACCTCTGTCAAAAGCTTTGTATTTCCTACCTGGACCTCTAGAGCCAGAGATCTCAGAGCTCACCTAATCCTCCTCAAACCATACACCATTTGTTTGCTTTGTTTGGGTATTACGGCTTAGCCTTCCTCAAGCTACTCTTTTTTTTTAACCTAGGTGCCTACGTGGCTGTTAACCTCAGTACTGACACACTTTTGAGAGCCCTGAAAGGAAAGGCTCCATTAGGAAGAGCCACATCATTCCGAAGGTGACGTTCCCCAGCCAGCAAGAGCCAAGGGTGCTGCCGAGTCCTGACTCAGTCCAGCATCAGCAGTTCTCACTGACGAGCCCTTTCCCACTTTGCCATGAGACTCGGGGTGTTGAATTCATTCCACACACCTCCCAGAGTCTTTCCTCTGCCCATCCTCTGTGCTCTTTGCTCAAGCCAAGTGCAGCTCTGCTTCCCAAAGTGAGAACACTCCTGATTTCGGGGGAAGGTGCAGGTGATTCCTATCCACAATTACCTGTCTCTTATGCTGCTGCTGGTGCCAAGGCACATTGTGCTCCACACTGAGCCTGCCACCGAGCAGGACCAGGTGTAGGAGTGGGCTTTGGCTTACTCAGAGCCGGAGTCAGGTTGTTCCTGTGCACCATGGGTCCCCTGCACCTCCACCCCAGCCAGCAAAGCACCCAGACTCTGCTGTCCCTTCTGTGTCACCTTCAAAAAAAACTTTAAAAACATAGTATCTCTCTCTATATATAAATAAAAACCATGTTGGAAAGTAAAAAGTGACAGTCTACAAATGTACATGCACTAAACAAGGCTTTTGCAAGCAGCAGAGCTGGTGTCAGCCGGCAGCAGCACAGCAGAGCGGTGCTGTCGAGACGAATGAGCACGGGGGCACTCGGAAAGGAGACGAGGAGAGACAAGCAGGTTAATAGAAGACGACAGATTTCTAGTAAGATTGCGATAAGCCTCTTTAAACTTCCCTAAAGGATGAGCCAGCTGGCAAGACCATCCCAGGAGGTGGTGTAAGTCGACTAACAGCCTTGCAGAAAGCCAACAGCTGACCCCTTTCACACGTCCCAGCTCACTCCTGAAGCTCCTTAAGCAAGGAAAGCTGAACACGCCATACCTGGATGCTTCCACCCTGGCACTCACCTGCAATTCCAGCCCTCCTTGCAGAGAAACCACCAGCCCTGAACTGTTTAGAACAAGCAGCAAGGTCAGGCTGACCGTGAGCGTGGGCAGAGCACGTGGCCCCATCCGGACACACAGTGGGACTAATCCTGACCTGTGTTCCCAGTGTCAGGCATGTTAGGGAAGTGGCACATCACTCCTAAAAAGGGCTTTGCCAAAAAAGGAATGGGGATGTCAAGGTGATAAGCAGGCAGCCTCCATCATGTTTTCACTTCCTTCCTAAATTCAGCTCTGTTGGGATCCCCCACTGAGCCAAGTCCTCCAAAACCACTACACCCTGGTGAGTGGTTTCACCCTCTCAAAAGGAAGAGGAGAGGGCTATCCACAGGGGAAGGTAAGCTTGATGTGTTAAGATTTTTATCCTTTAGAGGATGATACCTTCAAAACCTGCTGGAGGTGGTGTAGACACCACATCCAAGCATGGCCAACAGAAAGAGCTCACTGTGTCTCCTTCTCCAGTGCCACAACAAAACCCCACAACTATTTGAAACTGGAGGTTTCATCTGGAGCAGCATCTTCTTCAGGATGAAGAACAGCAGTAGCCAATTTGATATCAGGCAAGTTTTTCTTCTTAGGCCAATTAGCTGCTGATATAAGTTGCCCACTAAGGTCACTGAATCATCATTTAGCAGTTTCAAAGCAGACAAGATGAACTGCAGGCCAATTTCCCCCCTCCAGCTCAATGAGTGATTCAAAATGCAGTTAATGATAGTGGCTCATAAGTATCCGGCAGAGGATTTGAGAGAGCAATTTATTACCCAAAAAGGGACTGATTTCTTTCAAGCTAAGGCAGCTCAGCTGGTGAAGATATAGGGCTAGATTCTGCCATGTTACTTTACAGTCTTTAAATACCCAAAAGCTGCTAAACTCGAGTCAGAAAGCAAAAAGGAGAAGCAGATCCAATGTTAAGGAAGCTCACAGTTAAAAACCACTTTGTCACCAGTGGGCAAAAGACCTTTTAAAAGACTGGGAAAAGAAAAACAACCAACAGAAATTTCAGCACAAATCCTGTATTTCTGTGGGTTTATATAAGATAAAAATGAAACATCCCCTCATCCACAAAAACTTCGTTATTTGTCAACCTCAGCTCCATAACCAGTAAACACTGGTTGATGTTTTTCTTCCTGCTGGATGAAATGTGCCTCGAGGCAACAGGCATTTTATAAATTATTAAACCAAGGGAAAATAAGGTTCCAACAAAGTGACTGCAGAAGTGATGCAGAAGCACCAAGGAGCTGGTACAGTTGGTACCAGAACACTCACACAGGGTCATTTTTCCTGCAACAACGGACAACAAAAAGACGTTGTTAGAAATGCATAGCCTGGACACGTGGTCTTGATGGCAAAAAGAAGACATGATATCTCAGCATTTCATCACATCCACCACAGATATCTGAAGTTCAACACTTTAAACTTTATTTTTCTTATGAAATAGTCACTTATGCTTTCCAGTCAGAAGGAAAATAACCTTTTTTTTTTTTCAACCTCATGAGAGATCCCAGAACATGAAGAAAAACCCATAAAAATAATGCAGTAACAGTATTTTCAATATCATCCACAGTTTTTGATCCAACCCGTAGCGTAGAGATTAAACAAGGAAGGCAAAAACATAAATAAAAAAGTATTCTTCACAGTCAGGATTAAATACATCACATCTTTCACAACAAACTCAATCTCACACCAGATTAAGTTCAGTTCCAGCCAGAAAAATCCCCTCTGCTTTCTGCCATAACAGCACTTGTCCCCTGCATCTGTGAAAAAAAAACACTTAACAGTAACGGCAGGGCTTGGGACTCAGGGCCAAGGAAGGCTGGGTCAAGGCTAGATGTAGGGCAGCCCAGGCAGCTGCTGCCCCCGAGGTTCCCTGAGCGATTGTTAGGGAACAGGAGGGCTCAGAGATGGATTTGGGGTTTTTTTCCCAGGTTTGTGAACTCTCTCCTTTCCTAGATGATTTGTGAAAAGTCACTTTTCCTGCTACTACTCTATTGCAGATTGAAGCATCATCCTCGAGCAGTTATCACAATGCAGAAAAGATCTTTTCATAATAAGTGAACAAAGAGATAAACATGAACTTGTTGGCTCGTCAGAGTCAACCAAAAGCACCTCTACCACCAGTGACATCTCAGGCCCTGGAGCTGGAGAAGGCACTGAAGTTCAGGCTGAAGTTCCCCTAGTCTGCCAGTATCCAAAGGAGACTCTGCAAGAAACTCCTTCATCTCACACAGAAACCAGCACTCGCAATTCTGATGCCATTTCAGGAATTACAGTTGCTTCTATTTTGCTACCCCGAGTAAATTTCTTCCACGCCCCAATCGCGCCAAAAGGGAGAGGAATTCTAAGCAAAACCCATTCACGACCAGACCAAGGCATCCGCATCTACAGCGCTTTGTGTCTCGTACGATGACTCACGGTACAGATGACACTTAAACACCAGCGACAAAAGCTCCATGGACTAAAAACTGCCTTGAAAGGAGGCACCGCGTCCTCATCAGTGGATGCGCCCACCATAAGGTCACCGGCCGTGCCGGGATGAGCCGCTGCCCGGCTGCCGGGGAGGGCAGCCTTACCCCAGCGGCTCCTGCCAGCCCTGTCCGGGGCTGTGCGGGGCTGGAGTTACCGAAACTCCGCGCTGTGACCGCGGCGGGACCCGCGCCGCGCCCTCGGCACCGCTCCCGCGGGCAGCACCGCGGCAGCCACGGCGCCAACCCGCAGCATCCCGCCGGGCCGAGCCGAGCCCGGCCGAGCCCAGCCCAGCCGAGCCCAGCCCAGCTGAGCCCAGCCCGGCCGAGCCAGCCCTAGCCCCCGCTCCCCGCCCGGCCCCGCACTCACCGCGGCAGCTCCGCAGCGGGCCCGGCCCCGCGCTCCGCAGGCAGCGGCCGCTCAGGAGGGAGGCACAGGGAAGGCAGGAGGAGGCAGCGACCCGATCGCCGCCCGCCTCCGGCCCCGGCCCCTCCTCGGGGCGGAGCTGCGGGCGCTGCCGGGGCCGGGGGCGGGCGGGGACCGGCGCCCGTCCCCCGCCCGCCCGGCAGGTGAAGGCGCGGAGCATCCCCGGGGATGCTGCGGGAGCGGCCGCTGCAGGCTCTGGGGAATGAGGGCTCGTCCGCGTGGGATGGGCGGGGCTGTTTGTGCCGCCAGGGGGGTAATTAAGATAAATAAATAAATTGATTCATATTTTTAAAAAATTCTTTGAGTTTTGGTGAAAGGTCGCACCCCTGCCTGCGGCTGCCCAGCTGCCTGTAGATAACATTTCCCCCGACTTCTGCCTGAGCACAAGACGTGCTGCTGTCCCTGCTAAAACTGGAAGGTTGATATGTGCCTTAGAAACTGTTTTGCCCGGTTTTTTGGCATAAATAGCCAAGCCCGCCAGCAGGTTCCTATTTGCCACAGAGCAATTTGATGTTAGAGTGAGGTCACAGAGAATTTTTTAGGGAAAACTAAAAACCACCCCCAATGCAATGTAACATCACATCAGGGCGCTAAACATAGTGACTGATACCAAAAACAAATGCCATTCCTGAAGTGTGCCTTATGCCCATTTTATAGACAGATAAAAGGAGGCAGATAAGAGCCTTTGTCAGGAGTCAAACCAGTCACCAGAGCTGGGAGGGAAGCCAAGAAGCCTCCAGGGCCATGGAGTGGCACTGAGAAGCCCATACTCACCCACTGGGAGCAGAGCAGAGAGGATTCCTCATGCTGCTGTCAGATATTGTGTCTGGGATTGCTTGTTTTTTCTGGGGTGAAATAGGTTTCAGAAAGCTTGGACAATTAATCACCATCAATACTTTTTCTCCTTGGGAAAGGGCCTCCACCCAGACTGAACAGATCAACGGGAAACAGCTCTGACATCAAGCTGTGGGGTTTCACTAAAACCCTTCTAGCTCAACAAAGGCCTCACAGGTAACAAACCTGGATCTTTGCAATTGTACATGAGTGTGAAAGAGCATCCACAGGATGAAGGTCTGATTTAGGTGGGAACTTACTCTGACACCTGACTAGGAGCTCTGTCCAGAATTCACATATTACTGCTGCAACATGGTAGAATCACATTGTAGGAGTCACCAACTGACAAATGGAGACATGTCTTAACTGTACGACTTGTCTTCGCATATACAAAAACCTGGAAAACAAAGCTGATGGGAAGAAAGTGATTCCATGTCCTCCTCCTTACTGGATCCACAGAGATAGAGATGCAGGATGGATGGACGGGGAAATCTTTAGCCAAGGTAAAGGTAATTACAGATCTGGGACTGGACTTAGATCACCAGCCAGAGATCTTGACAGCCCTGGGCTGTGCAGGGTAGAGGCAGCTTTCCAAAGCCTAGGTCTGGCAGTGGGTCTTAGCCCAGGGCACTGGAGAGCTGACCAACTTTGGATCAGTCTCTGAAGTCCATAATTCAGTTGTCTGTTTACTGAAAGTGTGTTGTAAGCACAGCTGCTTTCTGAGGCATGTATGGTAATGAAGGGGGAGTCACATAAATACGCTGGCTCTGGGCCAGACTGGTGAGTCAGCATAAAGAGCTGAAACATAGCTTAACAGCTAGAGGATCAAAAAACCCAAAACCCCCCTCATTTCCTGTTCAAATTTGGGTATGAGCATTGTGATTGAGAAGATGAGGACAGCCATCACCTTAGCAGGCTCTTGCAGTGCCCAGGGCCCAGGACAGGAGAAGATGGAGACCTTCAGAACAGAGGGAGGGCTGAGCACATCAGAGAGCCCGCAGGCATCCGCATCATCCTCATTTTTCTGGCAAATCAAAGCCTTTGCTTCAGTTGCCAGTACAAAGCTTTGGATCTAGAAGAGAAATACAATTTGTTTGGTTTTTATTCCAGTCAAAATTCACTGCATCAAATTCTTTCTTTTTTTCCAGTACAGATAAAATTTTGCAGAGACCTAAGTCTCTGAATAAAAGACATTTCAAAGGTGAAGTTTCATAAAAAGCACTACTAAAACGTCCAGCATTTTCAAGGACCCAGTTCCTAGTGTCCCCTTCCTCATCCGGTGTTCAAGCCAATTTCACAGGCATTTTTGGTCCCTCAAATTCCTTTCTTTAGGAATTTGTTGGAAAGGTTTCACCCAGGCCTAAGAACACCTAGGCCTAAGAACAGGATTTTTCTCTTGTGCTTTTATAATATATACGTTATTCAACGGTCAGATGAGATGCTGGTATTCAATCAAGTTTTCTGGATTAAATAAATAGATAGGAAGCTGTGTGACTGAAGGACACTGAGCAGCCCCCATGGCTCGGAAGCACAGAAGGAGCTGCCGGTCTCGGGCTGCACTGGGAGTTTAAAATGAAGTGAGGTGATAGTAAAAGTCCTGCCCTTGTTCTGCAGGTGTGCGGGGCACGTGTGTTTGCGATTGCTGCTTCACCGTGCCCTCAGTGGTGCCAGCTTGTCAAAGCACAGCGCGGAGCGTGGGTGGGCTCCGGGAGCCGAGTGCCACGGCAGGAGCGGTGCCCGCAGCCCCAGGCTTGAGCTGAAGGTGCTGCGCCATTTTTCCTCTCTCTGCTACAATTTCCACTTCCATCTCTGAGGTTTTAATGCTCTGGCAAAGTTCTTCATGGTGTTTCAAGGTCTCCTGCTGTATTCTATTCCAGCAAAGAGCTGCTGTCACAGAAGCAAGGCTGATGGCAAGCAAGTAGACCATGTCCTTATTTAAACCTACTGCAAAGGAGCACGAGCCTCTGCAAAGCAGAGGAGCACGTCCTCTCCAGTGTCTGCACAGCACAGCACCACTGACAATGCTCATGGACAGTGTCCAGTAGCACAGTGAGGGCTGGGGAGAAGAAATAAGCCATGAGACAAAAAGTGAAGGCAGAAGTTGGTCATAGTGAGCTGCTTTGAGCCCTGGGGCTTGCCCAGTGCAGGAGGTAAAGCCAGTTGGGCAAGGGAGGCATGAAAAGTAGTGGGAGGATTCTGGAAACGAAAGTGGGCAAGACAGAGATGGGGAAAACACAAGGAAATAAGCAAACTTGCAGATGAGGGCAAGAGGTTTTGAATAGAGAGAGTGGCAGGAAATCAGTGGTGAGGCACAGGAGAACTGTGGGGTGGTGAGAGGGGAGGAGTGATTCACCTGTAGGTGTGGGTTCTTTAGAAGGAAACAGCAAGAGAGAAGAAATGGAAATGATGCTTAAACCAGGGGGTTGCCAGTGGTGAAACACTATCTTAGAGAAAGATACAGGACTAAGAACATTAACATTGGTTATTCTCTGTAAAACAAACAAATAAACAACAGATTTAGAAAGTGCTGAAGTCATGGGAAGGCTCTCAAATGTCTTACAGAAGGGCACATGGAATAACCGGGGTCTGACTGAAAAGGAAAATTAGAAGAAGGAAATCTGTAAGAGGACACAGGAGGACACCGAGGGAAAGCTGAAAGCAGCATCAGAAATGTGGGACTAAAAGAGACAGAGGGGTAGATCTGGGATATTCATGCTGATTTAGGTAAAGGGCCATGACAGGAAATCAAAGATTAGCTGAAGAATAAACCAGAATGCAAAAAGAGAGAGTGCATAGAACTGGTACATCAGAATTAAAAAGTGCTGTAGCAAGAGAAGCCAAAAGTAACTCATCTTTCATTTTCCAGCATTAAATCAGTAAGGAAACAACTTTACAGAGACTGGCAGGATGGACCTTGACCTTCAGGACCATCACTACACCTGTGCTAGGAAAACCCCCACCACACCGGGCAGTGAACTGGCACAATGACTTCCTAGCAGTCCAACAAGCCCTCCAAGTGTATGCTCACCACTGCAGAAAAATTAAGACTTGGGATGGTGCCAATGGGCAGTTTGTACCTTGTAAATATAGCAAAACAAGAAAAAAGATTAATTGATCAACACCCAATACTTGTACGACACATCCTTGTCACAGGCTGCCACTCATTCCTCCTCTTCTGTAGGCACAAAGGCCAACTCCCTACAGGCAGAACATTCGGTACCAGCCCCAGCACTCACCCAGGGCAATGAATGCTGCTGTGTTAACATCCAGGACTTTCCCAGGAGGGCCACCTGCAAACATAAAAGCCAGGAGCAGGTTTGGAGAGCAAATACCTGTAAATGCACAGGGAGCCGGGACCAGGTTGACCTATGGACGATTTCAAGCCTTGACAGGAAAGAAATATTACAGGCTGATGGGCAAAGATCCACGACTTGCAAGGATATGAGTTAAAATCCCTGTGGTTAGGAGCTGGCTGCTTGCCCAGCGTGAAACTGTATCCCTGTTATTAGCAGCGTGCTCCTTCTCATCCTCCAGCCAAAGGAACAGGCACTGCTTGCCCCACCTTATCACGGGTGCCTGTACCAAGAGCATCAGGTGAGCATGTCCATAGGGTCATTTGAGTGCTTGGCATGAAATCCTATGGGGGCTTGGGAGGGGGAGGGGAGGGAAGGAGGCAATTGCTTTGGTGGTGGTTTCCTCCTCCCAGCTCTGCACAGATGCTTCGGTGGCAAGTGAAAATTGCACTGCAGCAATTGCACTGCAGAGCCCACCAGAGCAGCTGCAGACCTGCTGCTTTAATTTCACAATTAATCCCTACCTCTTCTCTAATGCTTTGAGTCTCTGCTGTGCCTCCCTCTTGCTGTAGCAGAGGAGAGAAACATGTGGGGTATGTGCCATCTCCAGCAGTTTCTTTGGAAGATCCCCCAAACAACACAGCATTTCTTTCTGCCGATGGTTTGCAGACCACAAACATTTATATCATCATAGCTCTGCATCCTATTTCTTTCCTCCCACCCTCACATGGCAGTTAATACCTGTTACTTACCTTCTTTCACAGCAGGTTGGGGAAATTAATTAGAAAGACTGTCTAAGGATGCAAACTTTGCACCTGGCTGGAAATTTTGACAGTCAGCAGTAAGCTGGTTTGTCTTTATGTCTCTGAGAAGCTTTGAGGGCAAGAAGTTTTAAGGGCCAGAT